AAATAGAAAAACAAAAAATTCGAACAAATTTTTGTAATCCGACTTTTAAGAAAAATACGAAACAATAAAAAAGATAATGGGCAAGATAGAATACACGAAAGAAAAAATAAAAAATTATAACAATAATATTCATAACTATTTAAAAGAAAAAAAAAAAGAAATTAATATTATAAATTATAAGCATGTATATGTATATACATATATATATATAGTATTATATGTATATACACTCAGAAATATGAAATATGAAATTTTGTTGAAATTGATTGAGAGAGAGAGAGAGAGAGAGAGAGATATGAAAGGTGGATAGGGGGAGGGGGATGAGGAGAAAAAGCAGAATCCACTTTTCATTCTTTGCCCCTTTTTTTTTCCGTTCGTTCCTTCTCCTCTTACTCCACTATCTACGAAATTACAAAGATGTAATGTTAAAAAGAAAATGCAAATGGTGTAGGTGTGTGTGTGTGGGTGTGTGTCTGTTTGTTTGTTTGTTTGTAAAAAAAAGAAATAATAGAAAATGCAACCACATCATCCAAGTCCCCGTCAGCCAAGCGCATACTCGAATGAGAACCAATAAGAACTACTGTTATCTACAACGATGCATTAATTATCCTGTATTACAGTTCCACAATGATAACTCGTTGGAAATATTTTTGATTTTTGTTTTGTTTTGTTTTTTTTTGGTAAAAAGAATTAAGATTGTCTTCTCAGGTATGTTTAACATCGCTGATTGGATGGCTAAACTTACCGTAATTGCAGTTGGGCTGTTCGAATAGTCCACCGGTTGACAACGGAAACTATAGAGGCCCCACCATCCACCCATCAGACACTGTATTTCCAAAATAAACGAAATTATGCCGTTCTAACTTATTAACCTTTATCACTTCCAACAATTGGCAGTATCCAACTACCACAATTTTGTAATTTTATTATTATTATTATTATTATATTAAATAAAATAATAAGTATATATGTATACAGGATGTTCTATATAACTGTAGTCAAGATTTTTCAAGTACTTGCGATGTGACCTGAGACAAAAAATACTTTCAACTAAAGTTCATCTGTTTTTGATTAACATTTGACTAAAGTATTGCATTCTTTGATATTTTTTGAACCTTTTCAGATCAATTTTTAACTCGAAAAAGTATTCTACGTGTAAAATAAAGAGTGTACTTTAATTTAATAGATGATTTATTAAAATCCATTCACTTTTAGTATAAAAAATATTTATCAAAACTTTTCATAGAAATTGCAAAGATGCACTATTTACAAGATTGCATTCTCCAACAGTTTCTGAACATTTGTCGGTCGAATTTAAACTTAAATAAGTATTCTACGCGTAGAAAAAAGTGTAGTTTAATTAAATATAAGATTTATTAAAATCTATTTACTTTTAGTATAAAAAATATTTAAAGAAATATCAGAGAATGCAATGCTGTAAATTGTGCATTTTTGCAATTTCTTTGAAATGTTTCGGTCAATATTTTTT